CTATGTATTGTGTTGGCCCTTGAGTAATGGCGTTTTTTTTCCCTCGAAATATTTCGCTGAAGGTTAAAAGTTTCGCAGTAGAGTTTGAAACAGTTTTGCAGAGAATTCCTTGCCCTATACGACAGTCTTCTGTGTTTTTTTGAAGCTCTTCTCTCCACAAGTACCTATTTAAGTGCTCAAACTGGAGTGTCAGGTCGACGCAATTGAGCATTTTTTGAAAGCATCTCTTTTTTACTTCTAATTAAAAGCTAAAACCCCACAAATTTAGTTGCTGAGTATATAGCCGGGGAGCTATGTCTCTTGGGAATGCTTACAACGGTTCAAGCGATTCAAAGATTTCAATTTCGACCTCACAGACAAGCATCGAACCTAATGCCCTATTGAGTCCAACTGAGAGCTTACTGAATTACCTTATTCACGGAGATTCATGCCAAAGATTGAGGAAGTCGTTAGAGGTCATGGAATGCTTCCTTATCATTATCAAGCATTTCCCTTAGTTGATGTTAGCGTTCAAAAGTAGGGAGGAGGTTCTGTAAGCAGTCGCTCCGCAAGAGGGCACCCCATGCTATGCACATTTACAAGGTCCGAATTCCTCTGTGTTGGTTGCTTGAACCAAGTTCAGCCTGTCATCAAGATCACCTTGGTCATTTGAATCACAAGTTTTAAGCTTCTTCTGTAGTTTGAGAGCCGAGATAAAGTGCAAAAAGTTGTTGTCAAAAACTCACTTCTTGGATCGACCACACTCCATTTCAATGAAATAAAAATCTATAGAAATCGAGAACCAGTCGGGTATTGGGAACGACTGTCACTTTCCATATAAAATTTGAGTGAGGAAAAAACGCCATTACTGGGCCAGCCCAACACATAGGAGAAGCAGAGCGACAATAGGTATGAACGAGAAACATCCTTCCAGCAAACGATGTCAAGGTTCCTAGTTTTCATCGTTTTTTTCGGAAGTCACAGCGTGGAAAGAGTTGTGTTTTTGATTTTTTAATGCAAAATGACACTACAACAGTTTGGCTAAGCCGTCGTAATCCATGCATGAGAGAAAGGAGTTAGTGCATAAGTGCTGATCTTTATTTGTCCTGTTTCCTTGTGAGAAATTCAGCCGTGAGAATATGATGCCCTGACGTCCCATCTTATTACAAACGATACGCAAGTCCACGACCGGTCAGTCTCACTTGCTCCATCGCTGTCGAAGTTATATTGTTACAGTTACAATACTAGCCCGTAGTCCTAGCGGAATTCAAGAGATTTGCCTATCACTGGAGTTTTTCGTAGCTCGTTGGTATCAATAACTGGATGATAGCACTTCTCTGCCGAGTAGATTGAATGAATTGAGAGAGAATTGAGACAAATGAATACCGGGGGCGCTGCCTGGCGCGCCACCAGCGCCTGCTACGTGATCAGTTCCTTCGAAGCTAGGCGCATTTACCTTGTACGTCTTGTCGAACTATCGTGCCCGCTGCCTCCATTCCTCACGAAGTATTCTTGTTGTAATCTTCTTCTTTAGAGCATCGTCACCATAGTAGTGGAGTTTGCCCTGCGAAATGACGGTTTCCTACAACCTGGATGTCTCGTCTGTTACTGCATTTTCATTCATGCATTTACTATTTCGATGGCGTGGTTCTATATGGAAATCTATTATATATGAACTAATAATGTGGATATTTGCCTACTACGTCATCTTTACTACGTACCGGTTTGCCCTAAATAATGACCAAAAACGGTGAGTGAATTCAACTGACTTTAGGACTTCAAGATCCAACAGCAATACATATCGCCCATTTTCAGTACTTTTGAAAAGATCGCTGCTCATTGTGATAAGAAATTGGACTACATTCCACTTACATTCATGCTTGGTTTCATCGTGACAACTATTGTGAATCGATGGAGACAAATATTCAACAATATGGGATGGATTGAGAAGTGAGCCTTTTGTTTACAGCACGTATGTGCTATATCCGAGAGCAACAAGAGGTGTGGCTGTGGGGGAGGTGAGGGCAGATGGAAGTGACACGGAGACGTATGCCTAGGAGACAAGAACCTGCAAGGGAATAGGCAGCACGAGCGGAATCCCCGAACGATGAGCGAAACCTTTTCAGAAAAAACTTTTATCTTTCAGTATACGAGGGCTTTCAAAGTATTCTCGGTAACGGAGTAATTTAGCAGTGACGAACGGATTTCAGTCATTTGAAAAAGTAAGAAACCCTGAGGGTATAAATACAGAATTCCATTTAGTTATCATCTCTAGTTATCCTTGGTGAAAACCAGAATGACTGATGCGACAGTGTTAAGAAAATGATTACTGATTGAAAAATTGTGGGAAATGAAAGGAAAATTGAGAAAATGACACGAACATCGAGGAAAGAATAGTGATTACTTCTCGTTTCAATCCAAAGAAAGATCATTGTGGGAAGCGTTTTTCTGACGGTGAAGAGCTGAAGGCTGCAATTAACGCACATTTTGGGAACAAAAGGGAAAATATTCTTGAGGGGTGTTGAAAAGTTAGTTTCCCGAGCAAACAAGTGTATTGAGGTTATGGGGACTACATTGAAAAATAAATTTTATTCAGAATTTCCAGCCTTTTCCTTCCCACCTGTACCGAGAATACTTTGAGCATCCCTCGCAGAAAGAGTCTGCGTCTTTGTATGTCGTTGCCAGCTTCACTGGTATAAGGGCTGCGATACAGCGTTTGACCACACCCCCACTCAGTCCTTCCACTATGACGCTGGCAACAGCCGCCCGCCCCAGCAATGGTACCCACTGCCTTTAAATGGGCAACGCCAAGGACAACGATCAAAACGCCTAGAGAGGGGTCAAGGGATTGGAAAAACAAGCGAAGTTGAACAACGGGTCAGCGACTGAAATAATGAAGGGACAGTCGCATGGATGAAGTGTTCGCCGGATGGGTAACCACTTGCGGCGAAAATTCATAATTCGGTTCCAAAACCACACAGACCACAAACCATCACAAAAACGGCCAGTTGGATCGCTCGGAGGCGCGCTATCCCTCTCTCTGAACGAATTGGAGTGTGGCTGGAAGCATCGCGTCCCGCTAACACGACTGGAACGTGTTTTCCGGTGGCCACTCGCAATCGTCGATGTACCGGCAAAATGATACGGTTTAGATGGACCTGGTTGAGGACCGTCTGTCCGAGCAGGTCGCTGAACCAGCCAAATACACATTCAGCAGATTTTGGATGGAAGACAGATCGGTGTGCAAGCGAAGGAAGCTCACAAACATTTCTCGTTTCATGCCAGGCATATCCTGCCGACCCCTGGCTCACTAATCATTTCTTCGCATCAAGCTATTACTGTTTAGCAGTGAACGAAAAACGAAAACGGCGATTTTGAAACTGAACTCTTGACAGGACGCAGCCTTCAAATTCTGTGGGAGGAGCAACTACAGGGGCGTCAGAACTGCCACTTTTGAGGGTCGGGTTTTGAGCGCCTTCTTTACTCACTGTAAAGCCGCGAAAGTATTTAGGCAAACCTCAGAGAGTGCAAACTAAAGTACGCGTACAACGGAGGGCGACTGCTGATGCTTGAGTGCGGAGACTGTCTTTCAGGATGTGGCTCCTCGGAAAATTGCCATCTGATTTTTCAACGCCTAAAGTTTCTTATATGTGTTTTGTCACTCCCAAATACAACTAGAGTGAACTCTATCTCGTGAGGTTACCGTAGCAACATGGTTACTGTATCTGCGAACCTAAATTAGTCGGTCCAGCCACAGCATCGTTGGGAGAATGCATGCGGGTTGTTTGTTTGCGAATGACTCAAGATAGGGAAAGGGGGTATGTGACAAGAGAATCGTAAATCGCCGCGCTGGTGAGCGTCGCGTGCGACGTCGCGCCCGCAAATGACGATGGTTCCAGGTAGTAGATGGCGACAACAGGCAATTCAGAACCGAAAATAGTCATGAATGTCTACGATGACGGGGTCTGAAAACGCTGCGCCTGTCGCTGCGCGCGGCGGAGCTGCAAATTACGATCCTCTTGCCCGTCTCCCGGGAGAGGGGAGGGGGAAAAGGGGAGGGTAATGGGTCGTACCAGTTTTGGAGGGTCGTCACCGCCATTTCAAGCATGGCAATGGCATCCTGAAATAAGTACCTCACAGTTATGTGATGTTCTACAGTAGTTTCGTCTGTTTTAGCTTCACCTCTTTTGTTAGAAAATAGGCTTATGTCGAGAACTGGATCACGAACACTACTGAGAAGCTTTTTTCAGTGTAGCGTTAACGATCTCAACTCTATATCGAGGTGATACCAGTGAAATCGTGCTCGCTCGTCGCACAATAATTAGATATCTCGTGCTTTCTCAGGTCAGAACCAGCAGAAACACCTTAATTACTTACAGTAGGACAAAATTGTAAAAAATCATTATAGGTGCTCGTGTTCCGTGACATATCCATGCGGGTAAGAAGACGATTTCCCAACACGGAATCATTAGTAACCGCCGGTAAGCTTTCATCTTATTCTTCTCTCACTTCTTGCACTACCCAATATGCTGGTACTACTGATTTTTTTTCTTTAAAAGTAGTAACAGGTGGAGTATATGTTCAGGTTTCCTGCACGAGCACGAGAAGCGTGAACTGGAGAATATCTCCATCCATTACAACAAGTACTGGGCTCCAATCAGCTGGGCGCTCACGTTATGTTACAAAGCACACAAGGATGGGCACATCAACGCAGCACCATCCCTCAACGCCTGCATTCTCGTGAGTCCTTTCCAGACCATCGTTATTCAGCTCTGTCAGCATTGCAAACAAACCTTTTCTGAGAAGGGACTTGTGCACATCTACAGAGCCAGGTTCAAATCTCTTACGTACTGCTGCTGCTGTTTCCCCGTATTATCTTGCTCTTTCCGTTGCGGCCGGGATTGAGCATATGCCGCGGAATCCCCAACAGTGGGGTCCTATTGGCGTAACCCAGGGGGTGTAAGTGCAGAAATACTAGACTACACAGCACGTACATAATTGATGGAGGTGTTAAAGCTGCTACCGTTGAGGGTTATCTTTGGGCATGGGGAGGGGTGTGCGGGTGGGAGGGCGATGCGGAACACATCAACGTGGCTTCCATTTCTCAGATCAAAGGGAGACTTTACGACCAGTAATTGCGGGTAAGGGGGCTGGAATAGGGATGCGAAGCCAGGAAACTCAGTCCTAATCATCAAGCCTTTCATGATGCGCCACACAGTCGACCTTAACGCAAAACCACGAAGGGTTCAGAGTTGGTGTAGACTCTCTTGGAGTGGGAGCGATTCTTTCACAAGGGTACCTTGCTTTGACTGAATCACCTTCCACGAGATGGACTGAGCTGCGATTTCTAGCGTAGTAGTTGGTGTGCTTCAACTGGATTGTATTAGGTTGTCCGGAAAGTTCTGCACGTTTCGAGTGTTTCACTTTAAACGATCATAACTTTCTTAACACTCATCGGATTAATCCAAATAAGCACCATTCGAATCAGCACACTTTTGCCAATGTGACAGCAGTCGAGAAATCCCATCAAAGAAAAACTGGGTGGTCGAGAATTCACGAAATCCACGAAGGCTTTTTGCCTGGTCCTGATTGATGAAGTATTTTCCAGCAAGGGAGTTCTGAAAAGGTGATAGTCGATTGGCGAAAGGTCTGAAGAATATGGCGGTTGAGGTAGAACTTCAACCCCCAATTCGTTCAATTTATGGATAGTGATTTTGTAAACGTGTGCGGGCGTTGTCATGCAAAGAATCGGACCCTTTATATGACAAGTGCTGGCTGCAGCTGACGCAATTTTCGGTACATTTCGTCGATTTCTTCACAGTAGGACTCTGCTGTGATGGTTTGGCCTGGTGACAAAAAGTTATAGTGGATCACACCACCACACTGTGACCATAATCTTTTTTTCGTGAGGATTCGGCTTTGGAAATTGCCTCGGTGGTTCGTCGGCATCCAACCACTGTCCGGAACGTCTCCTGTTATCATACATGATCCACTTTTCATCACAGGTGACAATTCGGTCCAAAACGGGTCGTTTCTGTTGCGCAAAAGCAGTGAAGAAGAAACCTCGAGACGTGCCAATTTCTGCCGGTCACTCAAATTGTGGGGCACCCACTTGTCGAGTTTTTCACCTTCCCAATGCGTTTCAGACCATCTGCAACACTGGATTTGCCAACGCCTAGCTTTTCTGACTCTCGAACTGTTTGGGATGGGTCAGCCTCCACCCTTAAAATCCTCGTCAGATATTGCTTTAGGTCGACCGCTATGAGGTTCATCTTCAAGGCTGAAATCTCCAGAACGAAATTTGTTGAGCCATTGCCGCACAGTGCTTTCTCTAGCACTGGGCCCACACCTGGTTAATTTGTTGAGCTGTTTCGATTGGATTGCCCAATTTATAGTCGAAGAAAAAAATCGTCCGAAGTGCTCTTTTGACATGCTTGAAAAAATCTTGAAAAAAGGGGGTTCATCAAGCAATGGTGAAACGGCAGTTATACCATCAGATAGCGCAAAGAATTCTCTTCAGGATGTACTACTGAGACGCAAGAGTGAGTTTTTAATCAGCAATGAATGTACAAAAAATAGTAACACAAAACGTGCAGAACTTTCCGGACAACCTAATAATAGTTCTAGCGTGCTCCCTAACTGGCCACATTCTGGCACACTCTTCTGAACCGTGTCCGTGAATCACTTCCTTTCTTAATCAGCAGGGACTGAACACCTCATCTTGGTTGCACAATAGAGATGAACACTCAAAGGTAGACATTACAGGTTGTGTACCTCTGTACAGTACGCTTATGTGAACTAATCACAGGAATGCTAAGTAATGGGCCGAAAAGTCGGGTCCCACGCGGGACTTGAAGGAACGGTCCGCGATGACCTACGAAAACGAAAGAGGTTACGTGGGAAGGTAGTGCGGTTCGGAGTGGACAACCCTGTGTTAGTTTCGCGGCGGAAAGTTGTACGTAAAGGAATTAAGGCGCAAAGTTGCTTCAGTGGTACATCCCTTTTTCCAGTGACTCCGCCTCCAGACTCCGCCTCCAAAGTGGCCTTCCAGCCAAAAGTAAAACTTTGGGAGCGCGTACTACGGCGTAAAACAAGACCTGTCTCTCGGCACTTCTGGTGACTTCCTTCTACTGAATTCAATTTTCTTCAGGAGATCAAGACATTCCGAACGAATTTGGCGTTGTTGTGTAATTTCGATTGGGTTCCTGTGCCAATTGCTTATCCGCAGGTATCTTACTTATGACTCACTCTGCTGTGCATGAGACATGTAATAATAGGCTTCGACAGAATGCTTGCAGGTGGTATTTCTTGCTGTTCGCGTATATTTCGTCATCTGCCTCGTTTCGCGTCAATACATTGTGACCAATTTGGCCGGTAATCAAAGTGCTGTAAGTCGTTACTAGGTACCCTCTCTAGTAATCTGTAATTCCTACATCACTATCTGATGAACCGATGACCACATTCTAATATTTGATGGCAAACGTCAAAGTTGGTGAATTTATAGTTGATATCGTCGCGATCAGTTGGGGCGGTGTCAGAAGGGGTAGAATGAGTTCGCCTCCGACTGCCTTACCCAACCAATGGCGATCGCTTAGTGATCGGTCCGAGAGAAGAGCGATCAATGGTGAAAACGCCGCAGGTGAACTCATTCCACTCCCCTTGAAACTGCCCCGACCGATTGCGACTTCATCAACAGTTCTTTCGGTTGTGCGTGTCCCAATTGTGATATTCAGATCAAATGATTTTCTCTTATTTCAGATAGATCTCTACGTTCCTTTCATGACCATACTTCAGTTCATTTTTCTTGTAGGATGGATGAAGGTGATCTCAGCTAGACATGTGTTTGCCTAAGTCTCGATTCCATTAAGGAAGTAGATATGAATCTAGGTTGCCGAGACGCTCCTGAATCCTCTTGGTGAAGACGATGATGACTTCGAATGCAATTTCCTAATCGACAAGAACATTGCTGTAAGTCACTCTCTTTCCATCGTCTATTTCTTAAAAAAATACCGCAACTCATGAAGTGGCCATTCCCAGACGGGGCTTGCAATCGTCGACGAGACGTACGACAAGTGTCCAGAGCTCATGCCCGATCGATTCATGGACCCCAATTATGCTCCAGTCTATTCAGAAGAAAGTAAGAAATATGGTCACGATGGAGTTTTGATTGGATCGGCTGAAGCTATCAAGTAGGTCGAACTGAGTACTGTAGCCATGGACCTGGTTTTCTTAGTCACGGAATATTATGCGGTTTCAGGCTTGCAGACTCGGAGGAGGACGTAAAAATGGTGTCGCTCGGAACAACAACAGGTGAGAAGTACTCTATCTTACTAATGAATCCAGCAACCGCTTTCTCCGGACTTTCCCGTATTTGCGTCATTCTCTGGGAAGGGAGCCGTCATATATGCAGCGTCCACACTTCGCGATGACGACGACGCGCTATGACGCGCTCTCCCACGCGTCGGCGCAGCCGTAGACAGGATTTGATCGGCGCCGTTCTGGTGGGTAGTGCCGATTGATACCAGACGCGATAGCAAACGTCACACAGCCTTACTCTCTAATACCTGGGGTCTGCCGTTCATACTTTGCGGCAGCCTCCACCGCTACCATCAGCGTTTCGAGCGGTCCGTCACCGTCAGCGACTTGGACGGTTTAGATATCAGTCTAGCAAACGGCAGCGTCCTCCAGCGTCCACCAGCGACGCACACTTATGTACAGCGTCCAGCAGCCGATGGAGTTACGGTGTTTCGAAGCAGAACAGAGCGGTAACATGCAGGATTTCACGTCGCCAATCCAGCGCTGTCTCTCTCTCTCTACTGTCCCTCACCAAAGCTACTAGCGGCCTGCTACCCACCACACATCTCAACCATTCACCCATTCTTTTCTTACTCGCTGGTGGACGCTGGTAGACGCTAGATCGATATCCACGCTTTCCTAGTTCCTCGCTTGAGACGTTGATGGTCGCTGGGGGACGCTGCCTGGCGCTGCCGTTCGCTAGACCGATACCTATACTTTCCTAGTCGCTGACGCTCACGGACTCTGAAAATGCTGTTGGTCGCTGATGGACGCTGCCGCAAAGTATGAACGCAGTCGAGGCGAGAGGTGCCGATCAGTTCCCGTTGGCCTTGTAGCGCTTTTGCAACTGTTTTCGCAACTGCAACTCGGGGAGTCTTCAAGTAGGGGGCGAGTAACATTTAGATTTTCTGGGTTGGGGCCTGTGATTGTGGAAGGCTACAAAAGGGTGGGATATTTTGGAAAAGGCAAAAGATTTCAATTCCTGCGCGGGAATTGAAATCTTTTGCCTTTTCCGAAATACCACATATCCCCCCATAACAACTAACTTTGAGCGGCCGATATACTAGCAGGAGGAAGGATTTCGTGCTAAACAACACTAAACGCCACGCTTTTGCTGCTTCAGGAAAAACACTGATACACGCATATTCCAGAGAAACCCACCGAACTACGGTCTCGAACTACGGGTGCTTACGAAGACAAGTCGCAAAGCACTCAGCCTTTCTCGTGTGTTTTATAGTCTTCAAAAAAATCCCAGAGTAGAACCTATTCTGAAAAATTGCGCTAATAGCTGTTCGCTCTAGAGGTTGCAAAGAAATCCACTCCAACATAAGACTAATACACAAATAACTGTCATGGAAACTATGAAATGCTATTCACCCTATCCCGGAGATTGAAGGATTGGCTGCAGTAACTTTCATTCGAAACGCTAGCGTGGGGATGGCGTTTGTCGTTTGGATGTGTTCCATTTGGACAATCTGTCGTCCTGCTTTGTGCCAGACAAAGGTAGCGATATCCCCTCCCCAAAAAGCGTGCTAACCCGAACTTGATGAAAGAGGCAATGAAGTACAAACAGCGAGCCCTTTCCATCTCCAGGATATGGCATGTAATCCGATTGTATATACATCCGCGGAGACCAGTGCGACAAGCCGCACTCCACTACTCCCCCAGATATTTCTGATTCATGCCTCATTGTTTTTAGCCCACGGGCTGCACGATCAGTACAACCAGTACATTTGGCATGTGCCAGCCCGGAGTTCAGTCAGAAGCCAGAACGGCCGTATACGGCATTCGACTTGTCTAATGGTAAGTCCACACGTTTTTGTATTAGGTTGGCGGGAAAGTTCTGTCACATTTTTTCAAATTAGACTTTCTTTTACAGAGAGGCGTACAAGATCAAAATTATACAGCAATGTTATTGAGAGATCCTTGCCAGTTTTTGGGCAGTTCGTGGATGCCATCGCTTCACAATGCACGCCGGCGCGACCTTCAAATTTTGGGGTACATCATCTCAATTCGACCTTGGGCCGCATAGTCGCTGGGCGTTTTCTCGGCCGTGTAACGGTTAAAATACGGGAGCCATTCGCAAGTCAGAAAGAGCAATGTCCTGGAATCCACGCGGTGCATAGGGGGAGCCAGATGCATACTCTATTGCATGAGTACGACTCGTACTCTCTTTTCGACTGGGCGTGTGCTGCACGGCAGCACGTTCGAAGACGACTGTGCCGAACGGATTTGCACCTCTGCTTGACGATTCGCTTCAGATCTCGTAGCTGCCTTGCGTACGGATTGACCCAGGAGGCAGCTTCTTCATCCAGTAGTTTCCGACCCACCGCTATCATAACATAAAGCTGAGTTACAGGTACTCTGCACCCGAACTCACTTCGTCATCGAGACCGTAGGCGTAGGGGAACATCACTCTGAAGAGCAGCCGCTCGTGAGAATCGTCTGATGATGTATGAATGTCTTGTGCTGCTTCATTATTTAGCCATTCGACAGCTCTCATGCTTGGCGCCAGGTGCTAGAAGAAGGGAGTTGAAGGAACGCTTACAGGGCTACGGCAGACAGGCTACACACGGATAACATTCTTGTCCATATTGCAGAATAAGGAGAAGCAGGAGTCGAGCCAGTGATACCAATAGAAAGACCAATCCTTGATGTATAACTGCTCACATTACCGGTTAACCCTCTTCAGGTAATAGGCAAATACTTGGGTTCAAAAAAGTATGACAGAACTTTCCCGCCAACCTAATACTTATTCAGAGCGGAGGGGAAGGGGGATTGGGGGGAGTCAGAAGACGCCTTCCTAAAGCCTACTTCGCGAAGAGTTAGGTGGCGGGGTAAGTGGACAGCCTGGACGTTCACGTTACGCACTTACATTAATCCTTGTGCCCTTAAAATCTGTCAAAGCGACGTGCTTGGGACTCCAGGGTTCTTGTCAAATTTCGCTGTCAGAGCAGAGTCATGAAAAATAAGTCATGGACCATAACGAGGTTATCCGAAAAGCTGGGCAGCTGGTTCATCAGCATCTTTTCTGAGAATTCGTCCGCGATTATTCAGTTCTGGGAATTGCATAGCTCTCTCACGCTGACGCCATTGCTGAAAGGGTTTTTCGGCTCCACGGCGGTGGTGGGTAGTTTCCACATTTTCGTGGTGGTGGAGGGAGGTAGTGGTAGAAGATCTGCTCCTGCTTACATAGTACCATCTCAGGACTATTTCCTATAGAATCTTCCACTTTACTTTGCCATCCTGTGCGAAGTAAAATTGATGGTGCGCCACATGTTTATTCAAATCAGATCAGTACTTTCCCCGCATCAAAAAGGCCACTAAGAATAAGCAAATCATTGCAGGGTTCACTTCATCACCTCATCTCTACAGCGGTCCACGTCTAGGAAAAGTGGAAGAGGAAACGGATAAATCGCGATCAAATACCATAAGAAGTACGGTGGAAAGTGTCGATGAGAATGAGGTAAAGGTATCAACATCGAATACTCAATTACTGCTCAAACCTAATGGTCTTAGGCGGAAAAGCTACAGTGACAACGCGCTAACCACTCAAGTGGGCCATCTCAGAAGTCTGCTTGGTTGGCCTGGGCAGGTTCAAATTCCGGATTGGCTCCCGCTCAGGCCTACCACACACTCCACCGTTTGGGGGCGGTAAACTGGTACCAGATTGGTCTGAAAGGTTAAGAAAACTTACTCGTACATCAAGTGGCCCATGCAAGTCATTGTATAGACCACATCGCAAGTAAGCCACTCCGATTCTGAATGAACGTAGAATGCGTGCCTCATACCAAAAAGGATGTAACGTATACTAAGTGGCGCTTAGCCCGGTCCGAGCGTCAAACCGACCGTTTGCCGCCCCTCAAAAGCAGTGCCCACGATCAACTGAAGTTCCCCTCTTCCTTTCACGTAGCAGGTAACCTCGTCATCCGGGCAGTTGATTAGGGCGGTCGTCAACGGGCCGCAGCGCGTGCCAGGAACTATTTGCTTTTCCAGGCTAATTTAGTCATTTTTTCCACCTTGTGAAGATAAGGAGCTGCTAATCTGGGAAAAAGTAGCCAAAACAGTGAAAAGTTGGAAAAAAAAAATGACTTAGAAATCAGCCCCTTAGAAAAACAAATAATCCTAACACGCGCCTGCGCAGTTGACGACCGCCCTAATCAACTGCCGGATGTGACCGAAGGGCAATAGTATCTGCGTGTGCGTACTAGGCCATAGCGATTGCGCTAGCGCTTTTGCAGCTGGTCCGATTTTTTCGCGGGCCACCAAGACGCGCGTGAACAGCAAGCCAAATGTTGTCATTGTCTCATCATTGGCTCAACCCAAATTTTCATTGACAGCCGCGCACTCTCCTCATCCATGATGGCCCAAAGACCCCGAGAACAAAGGCAGACACTGTGCAACTATTCAGTAGGAATCCAGCCTCGCCTGTGCCATACTGGCAACAACACAACTGGCCCGGTGATCTCGTCCGATCACACTCTCTGATCAATCTGCTCACAACTGCGTTTGCTAAGAGGTTTCGTTTGGAGCTTTTGCGACCTTTTTTCTGTTTTTCTCCACCATTGACTTCTTTGGCATATGCTGTTGAGCAACTACCTAGAATATCTGGTTGCAGTCTTTGTCTTTAAACCAAGAATTCCATTCTGCCGTAATCAGTTGCGTGTGGCGCATCTCAACAGGAGCACTAAGGCAGGAGGCTCCATCGTGTTTAGCTCCGATACTGTTTCGCTCTTGGTTTTGTTTCAATCTTCACGTCTGGTTTGCTTAGGCAGCGTTCAGACTTCGCGACGGCGGCGCTTCGGTCGCAAAGTCTGAAGGCTGCTTTACTCTTTCGGCGTGCGGGTACAAGTGCCCTGCCCTGAACAGGGAAATTCCACAGGTACACTCCGTATGCCGCAGTTGGGGAGAGCGTGGCTGCGGACTCAATTTGAACAGACATAGAAATCTTCGTGGAATGTTCCCATTTGAGACAAATGACATTCAGTTTTGTAGTGACCAGGAACATGATAACATTCGTCCCAAAACGATAAGATCGCACCAAGAGCACTGCCACGTCCAGACGAACGCAACCGCGCCCTTTCCATCTTCCCGATATGGAGTAATATACGCAATCACTGCCACTGTCGCAAGTGAATCTGTAGACACACTATTTTGAACGCCAAGATAAAGACTGAACCTCGACAACAGGGCTACGAGGTCCTAATATAAGATGTACACAATCCATCTAATAGTCACATCATTTCAGCTTCCGGAGCTGTTCAAAAAGGAGCTGAACGGTAGTCAAAAGTCGGGGCAAAACGGCGAGAAGAAGTGATAGGCGATAACGAGAAATGAATTATCTTCAAGCGATTAGCACTGAACAATATGGAAGGCTTGTTGCAAGTTGTTGCTGTCTCAGATGAAAATCCTTTGCCAAATCACGGCAAAATCACATCTGCGACCATTGCTGATTCCTTCGTTTGAACGTGGTTCTCATTTATTGTCAGTATTCACTTTTTGCCATAATTATTTGCTTTACCTTCACTGGTCTAAG